TGGGTGTTGAGAGAGAGATGGAGGGAGAGAAAGATAGGGGAGAGAGAAATGAAGAAAAGGATGGGAATGGGGGAAAGAGAGAATTGGAGGGAGAAAGATGGTGGAGAGGGAAGAGGGGAGAGATGGAGAAAAGAGAGGGAGAGAGTGAGATGGAGAGGAGAGGGGGGAGAGAGATGGGAGAGAGGGAAGAGGAGAGAGATGGAGAAAAGAGAGGGAGAGAGTGAGATGGAGAGGAAAGGGGGAGAGAGATGGAGGAAAGGGCTGAGGAAAGAGAGAAAGAGAAGGGGAGAGAGAGATGAGAGACAAAAGAGGGAAAGAAGCTGCATGAACATTGTCTTGATTGGTCTACCTACATTTGCTCTAACATTTATTATTTTGTTTTTTGTCTTTTTTGCCAATTTGCAATGAATGAAGTGAATGAGATGAAAGTTCAATGTTATTTTGATGGGCTGTTTTCTTCACATTATTGCTTTGGAGCGTTCTTTCCAATGGTGGTTAATGGTTGGCAGTTGTTTTGAGACTTTCTGTCCTTTGAGCACGCCTCTCTTGAGGGCTGGCTCAGCCACAGACACATCTGTATTTCTCGGGCGTCAGGACCACATCAGAGAGATTTCATGCGAAGATTTTCCCCCCAAGTGCTTCTGTTCTTACTCCAGGTGTATTAATTTTGTTCATGCAAATACCTTTCAAATTCATTTGGGATTAGTTGTTTTATCTTTCAGAATCACTCCTATCCCTTCCCTGTTCAGGTGAGACTTCAGTCCCTAGCCATGGAGCTGTGAAAAAGCTCCCTGAGCTCATTCTCTTCTCATTTTTTTGTGGTTTGACCCTTTATTATTCAGGTCACTTCAGTTTGGAGTTTATTGTGGTCTCCGCCAGGATCTTTCACTTCCTCTAAGGCCAGCTTATACAGGGTGTCCCAAAAGTCTTTGTGCAGCTTTAAAGCTGCATTAAGACTTTTGGGACACCTTGGAGTATTTCTGGTCCTGTTTGCCCCATACTGTCGTGAGTACTAGTTACTTCTGGGAAACCTTACATTCATTTGTCATGGGTGGGATGCAGACTTACTGGACTGGTAGAGTAGGGAAGGCAACGTGGTACTATGGAGAAAACAGTGAATGTGGGGGCCGAAGCTATGGCTACAAATCCCGTCTCTGCCACTGATGACCTTTGTGCCCGTGGGCAAGTCAAGTGACCCCTCTGAACTTCAGTTTCTTTCTCTATAGAATGAGGCGCTGGACTTGGTGACTTCAAGGACCCTCCTCTCTGATCCTCTACTAAATTTGGTGATTTTTACTTCCAAAATGTCTCTCCCATCTGGCCCCTCCTTTCCACTCACATCCTACTTCAGGCCCTCCTAAGAGCTCATTTGGAATAATACAAAATAGCTTTGGTCTCCCTGCCTCAGATCTTTGCCCACTCTAATCCAGCCTCCACACAGCTGCAAAAGTGATTTTCCTAACCTCAGTAAACTCCCAGGGTTTCTTATTACCTCTCAGGTCAAACTTTCTCCGCCCACCCCCCATATATTCCTTTTCTCATCCTTTTCCTTTCTTCTTTTAAGATTATCATCAACAATAAAATTATTCTTATTAAGAATTTTTGTTATGAATGGCTAGGTCCTCAGAGCGTTTCACAAATATTATCTCATTTGATCCTTACAACAACCCTAGGAAGGTAGGTGCTATTATGACCCCCATTTTACAGTTTAGGAAACTGAGGCAGACAGGAATGAAGTGACTTGCCCAGGGTCACACAGGTAGGAAGTATTTGAATTCAGGTCTTCCTGACTCCAGGCCCAGCACTCTGTGCACTATACTATCTGGCTTCCCAATGACTTGTATACCCCAGAGGATACATGTATCATCTCCCCATATTAAAAAGCAAACATTTCAGCTTTGTTTAGTACGTTATGATCGCTTGCTCATAATTATCTTTTTGTTTTACTTGACTCCTATATTTTTACTTCAAAGATTCTGTATGACTCTGGTCTTTTCATAAGGAATACTTGGAAGTCCTCTGTTTAACTAAAGGACGCATCCCCTCAATTTCCAATTCTTTGCCACCACAAAAAGCTGCTATAAATATTTTTGTACACATAGGTCCTTTTCTTTTTTATTGATCTCTTTGGGATACAGACCTAGTAGTAGTATTGCTGGATCAAAGGGAATACACAGTTTTATAGTCCTTTGGGCATAGCTCCAAATTGCTTTCCAGGGTGTTTGGATCAGTTCACAACTCTACCAACAGTACTTTAGTGTCCCAGTTTTCCCACATCCCCTCCAACATTTGTCATTTTCTTTTTCTGCCCTATTAACCAATCTTATAGGTATGAGATGGTACCTCACAGTTTTAATTTGCATTTCTCTGATCACTAGTGATTTAGAGCATTTTTTTCATGTGACTAGAGATAGGTTTGACTTCTTCTGAAAGCTACCTGTTCATGTCCTTTGACAATTTATCAATTGGGGAATGACTTGCATTTTTATAAATTTGACTCAGTTCTTTATATATTTGAGAAATGAAACCTTTATCAGAAAAACTTGCTGTAAAATTTTTTTCACTGTTATGGTTACTATGTATTTCTCTCCATCCTATTTTTCCCCCATTTATTCTACTCTCTCTCTCTCTCTCTCTCTCTCTCTCTCTCTCTCTCTCTCTCTCTCCCCCCCCCACCCCTTCCCCTCATCCCTCCTCAAAAGTATTTTGCTTCTGACCACCACCTCCCTCAATCTGCCCTCCCTTCTATCACACACTCCCCTTCTCTTATTCCCTTCCCCTCCTACTTTCCTGTAGGGTAAGATAGATTTCTATACCCAACTGAGTGTGTATGTTATTCCCTCTTTGAGCCAATTCTGATGAGAGTAAGGTTCGAGGGCCCCCCCTTCCCCTTTCCTATATAAGCTCTTTTGTACCTCTTTTATGTGAGATAATTTACCCCATTCTTCCTCTCCCTTCCCCCTTCTCTCAATGAATCCCTCTTTGTCACCACTTAATTTTATTTTTTTTAGATTTCGTCCCATCATATTCAATGCACACCTGTACCCTCTATCTATGATTACTCCTTACAACTGCCCTAATAATGAGAAAGTTCTTAGGAATTACAAATATCATCTTTCCATGTAGGAATGTAAATAGTTTAACCGTACTGAATCCCTTTTAATTTCTCTTCCTGTTTACCTTTTTATGCTTCTGTTGAGTCTTGTATTTAAAAGTTAGATTTTTTTTTCAGTTCTGATCTTTTCATCAGGAATTCTTGAAAGTCTTCTATTTCATTAAATATCTATTTTTTCCCTTGAAGAATTATACCCAGTTTTGCTGGGTAGGTGATTCTTGGTTGTGATCCTAGCTCCTTTGCCCTCTAATATCATATTCCAATCCCCTATGATCCTTTAATGTAGAAGCTGCTAAATCGTGTGTTGTCCTGACTGTGGCTTGACAATATTTGAATTGTTTCTTTATGCCTGCTTCCGATAATTTCACCTTGATCTGGGGGTCTGGAATTGGCTATAATATTCCTGGGAGTTTTCATTTTGAGATCTCTTTCAGGAGGTAGTTGGTGGATGCTTTCAATTTCTATTTTACCCTCTGGTTCTAGGATATCAGGGCAACTTTCCTTGATAATTTCTTTAAATATAATGTCTAGGCTTTTTTTTTTTAATCATGATTTCTAGGTAGTCCAGTAATTTTTAACATGGCTTCCAGGTAGTCCAATAATCCTTAAATTATCTCTCCTCAATCTATATTCCAAGTCAGTTGTTTTTCCCAATGAGATATTTCATATTTTCTTCCATTTTTTCATTCTTTTGATTTTGTTTTATTGTTTTTTTGATGTCTCTTGGAATCGTTAGCTTCCACTCATCCAATTCTAATTCTCTCTCTTTTTTTTTTTGCTTAGGCAATTGGGGTTAAGTGACTTGCCCAGGGTTACACAGCTAGTAAGTGTGAAGTGTTTGGTCTGAGGCCAGATTTGAACTCAGGTCCTCCTGACTTCAGGGCTGGTGCTCTATCCACTGTGCCACCTAGCTGCCCCCCATTTCTAATTCTTAAGGAATCATTTTCTTCAGGGAGTTTTTATACCTCCTTATCTGTTTGGCCAGTTCTACTTTTAAAGGGGTTCTTTTCTTAAGTGAATTTTTATACGTCTTTTTCCATTTGGCCAATTTTGTTTTTTAAGGAGTTTTTCTCTTCATTGGATTTTTGTGCCTCTTACTATTTGGCCTATTCTGCTTTTTAAGGTATTATTTAATTCAACATTTTTTTTTTTGTGCCTCCTTTACCAAGCTGTTAACTCTTGTTTCTTTCTTTCATCACTGTCATTTCTTTTCCCAGTTTTTCCTCTACTGCTCTTACTTGATTTTAAAAATCCTTTTGGAGCTCTTCCAAGAATTATTTTTTGGGGCCTGAGACCAGTTCACATTTTGATTTAAAGCTTTGCATAGGGCAGTTTTGACTTGGTTGTCTTCTGAGTTTGTGTTTTGACCTTCCCTGTCACCATAGTAACTTTCTGTGGTCAGATTCTTTTTTTTGTCGTTTGCTCATTTTCCAGCTTATTTCTTGATTTTTAACTTTATGTTGAAGTTGACCTCTGCTCGTCCCAAGCTTCGGGGTTTTTGTGCTGCAGTTTTCAGTGCTAGTTCTGGAGGTCTGTAAGTTTTCAGTCCTTCCATTTCTACCCCCATCCCCCTTGCTGCTTGTAAAGTGGTCTGTTTGTTCCTCTTAAGGGAGCCAAGACTTTGAATGGTAATTTGTGTGAGAAAGGATCAGGAAGTAGACTAAGGATTAGCAGAGAAAATCGACCTTCCGCTGGGTTATGATCTCCTTTGAAATTTAACAGGTAGGGACAGGACTTATTTGAGGCGAAGCAGGGGGACTGTCTTCACTAACTATGGAGAAAGAACCTTTCATGAAGTTAATGCATGCAAAGTACTTGGGAAATTTCAAGTGCTAGCCTTATCATCATCATCATCATCATCGTCATTATTATTATTCCTCTGTAGCACTTCAGATGGGCATGAAAAGACCTTGACGATAATCAATGTTTACTGCCCCCATGCGGACCCTGAGAAGCCTGAACGGTTGGCCTACAAGCTGCGTTTCTATCGACTCCTGCAGCTCCGAGCTGAAGCCCTCCTGCGGGCAGGCAGGTGGGAATCAACCCAGCAACAAGAGGTAGTGGGAGACAGTGCGGAGAGGTCTAGAATTGGCTGCCTCAGGCTCTAGGCCTGGCTCTCTTCCTTAGGCCCCTGGCAACCTTGGGCAGATTCTTTTCTCTGGATCTCGGTTTCCTCATTTATAAAATAAGGGTTAGTAGATATGCTAGATGGTCCCTGAGGTTCTTTCCAATGAGGAACCTTGGCCAAGCTGCTCTGGGCCCGGGGGCCCTCGAGGAGCTACTACTGGCCAGCCCCCTCCCCATGCAAGAAAAGGGACACGTCCCAAGCTTTGTCCATTCATTCCAGAAACCTTTATAAAGTGCTCCACCCCGGAGGAGAGTCACTGCAGTTAAGAAGCAGCCCGTCATGAACCTCAGAGTTCAATAGGGCAATGAGGCACAGACAGGCAGCTGTAATATACGGTATTAAACGCTATGTGCATCCGAGAGGTGAGAGCTGAGGGAGACTGGGGAGGGCAGTGCAGGCTTCCTAAAGGTAGTGAGTAACTGGAGTTGGGCTTTACAGGAAGAGGGAGGAGGGAAGGCATTTGAGGTCCAGGGAGTAGCCTGTCCAGACATGGAGGAGAGCCCAAGGAAGGCTGAGCCACCTGCTTTGGCCAGAGCTTGAGATTTACAAAGCACTTTCCTCACAGCGTTGGTGGGGGTGGGACCGTCAGAGGGGATAGGGGAGACGAAGGGAGCAGGAACTGTGGTCGTCTTCAGTTGTTACTGGGGAACCGAAGCCCAGAGAGGGGAAAGGCCTTGGGATGATCACGGGCTCCTCAGAGACCATTTAGTCCCATTCTGTGGGGGGAGGTAGGGGAGGAACCTTTGCCCTTGTACCACAGAGGGAAGAAAAGGAGGAGGAGAGAGAGGAGGAATTTGCCCACAGCCACATAGCTGATAATTGGCAGAGCCAAGCCTCTCCCCTGTGCCTCAGAACTCCCATTCCAGGGCTCTTGCCCCTGCCTCTGCCCTACCCCATGGTTGCTGCTTTCCACAATCTCAAACCATCTCTCGTGGCTGATGGACACCTCCTTCTTTCCCAGCCACGTGATCATTCTGGGCGATGTGAACACATCTCACCGGCCTCTGGACCATTGTGACCCTGATGATCTGGTAAGGATTCCTTTCGGCTAAGCGTGCCACCTCTGTCTTAATCCATGTCTGCGGACACACCGGTAGCTCTCTACCCTGTTGATCATGAAAGTGTAGAATTAGACTGGGAGGGGCAGGCCTTGATCCATCTAGGCTCCGAGATGACATCACACAGCTAGGATTTAAACCCTGCTCCTCTGACTCCGGAGACACCAGGCCTTCCAGTGATCCGTCAGTTAGCTGGTCAGTTCGGAAGGCCCCTTCCAGCTCTGACATTCTTTAATTGTAGGCATCTTCACCTTCCTGAGGCTCAGTTCCCCTTTCTTTAAATGAGGGATTGGACTGTAATTGCTAAGACGCCTCTAGCTCTGACGTGCAGCATTCCTATAAAATTAAGCCTGTTTTCATGCAAAAAAAAATTGCCACATAGAATCAGTATTTTTTAATGCAGGCATTTTAGAGGGAAAAACATTGGTGTTTCTCCCAAACCCAGAGGCCCTCTTTGTGTCATGGGGTGCCCAGCTTAGGAAACAGTGTCTGGTTAGCAGGTCTGGCGGTTGGATGCCCTGGAGGGCATAGAGCGAGGCATTCACGGCTAACAGGCATTCTTGGCTTGCAGGATGGCCTGAGTAAAGGTGGTGTCACTCAGCAGGTGGTGAAGTTTGACAGAGATAGATGCTGTTTCTGTATAGAAATTGCGGGAGAGGAAGCTGGAGATGTGGGCAGGGGCTAGACTCGCAGACACAGAAAGGACCCCAGAGGCCATTGAACAGGCATCCCTTCTACAGTGTCCTTGTAGGGGAATCTGCTGCCACTCTGGGAGAGAATGCCAGGGACGAAGACCTCACCACCTCCTGAGGCAGGCCTTTCCCCTGTTGGGCCCTTCTCATTGCCTCTCCAAGGTTTCTCCCCATTGCTCCCAGGCCTAGAATTTCATTCACACATTCGTTTGTTCAAGCACCTATGGCTAAGGAGCCTACTGTGTGCCATGCTCCATTGTTGGTGCTGAGGGGGCAGGGATTCGAAGATGATAACGGATGTGTTTTCAGGGTCACAGAACATGCCGTGTTGAGGCTTTGGGAGTTAAAAAGCTTCACCTTGAAATTGGAAAGAAGGCCAGGGGAACCCAGGGATTGCTTTCTGGGTGAGGCTGAAGACTACAAATGTCCATAGCCTGCTGTACAGCACCCTGGGAAGTGGAGTATGGGCACTGTTCTCATTTTACAGAGGAGGAAACCAGGGCCCAGAGAGAGGAGGGGTTTGCCTGAAGTTACAGTTAGCGGGGAGCCTGTGAGTCTGAAGGCCCACCTCAAATTGGGCCTTGTGGGACCTCAAGAGAGGTTCCCTTCTTCTCTGTGCCTCATTTTCTTCCTTTGTAAAAAATGAATTGGACCAGCCAGCGTCTAAAATCCCTTCCAGCTCTGACATGCACTGATCCCAAGTCCTCTTCTGAGGCTTTTCCCCCCTTTCCCAATAGAGGGATTGTACTTGGTTCTTTCTTCGGCTCTCCTTAGCTCTGACGTTCTCTGGCTCTCAATTGCCTACCCCAGGCGTGCTTTGAAGAGAACCCCGGACGCCAGTGGCTCACAGAGTTCCTGTGGCGGCCCGACAGGGACAGTGGGCTGTTCATTGACAGTTTCCGTCACTTCCACCCGACCAAAGTCGGTGCCTTCACCTGCTGGTCTACTGTCATAGGGGCACGCCTCACCAACTATGGCACCCGACTCGACTATATCCTCGGTGACAGAGCTCTGGTGCTGGGGGAGTTTGAGGACTCCTTCCTCATGCCTGAGGTGGAGGGCTCAGACCACTGCCCCGTTGGGGCCACCCTGAGGGCGGAGCTCATCCCCGCACCCCGATGTCCCCCACTCTGTACCCGGTACCTGCCAGAGTTTGCTGGACGGCAGCAGAAACTCTCCCGGTTCCTGGTCAAACTGGACCCGGTAAACCTTCCAGAGCCCACCTTGCCCCAGCCCCAAGGAGACAAGAACAGTGCACTGCCCAAGAACCGGGCCAAAAGAATGGGTGGGGACCCAGGCCAAGGCCAGCTGAGCCTCCTGAGGTTCTTCCAGGCAGGCTGTCCCCCAGAAAAACCCCTCATCACTGGAGCCCAGGAGCCTGAGACTGATCCAGCCAGCCAGGACCCCAGGGTAGTGGCACCCCCACCCTCTGAACCAGGCGAGGGCCAGGCAGCATTTTGGAAGGCTGTTCTGAAAGGCCCACCTCGACCTCCCCTATGCAAGGGCCACGGGGAGCCCTGTGTGCTGCGGACAGTGAGGAAAGCCGGGCCCAACTTTGGCCGGCAGTTCTATGTCTGTTCACGGCCTGTGGGCCACAACAGCAACCCTGCTGCTCGCTGTGACTTCTTTCTCTGGGTCTCTGGGAAGAGCCCAGCCCCTCGTTGAGGGCCTGCCTACTGCTGGGCTCTTCCCCTCCCCGCGCTCCCTTAGGGGGTGCTCCTAGGTTGTGGAGGTCAGCATCGTTCAGTGGCTGTTTGCAAAGGCCCTAGTAGGGGCCCCAGAGCAGGCGTTAAAGGGCCTAAAAGAGGCTCAGGGGAAAGAAAGAAGCTGCTGCTAATCTGGGGCTGTTGAACTTTTTTAAAAAAGATAACATTCAATTTCACATTAATAAAGTTTGGATCTTGGAGCTGTTGAAGCACATTTTTGGGTGTTTCCCACAGCCGCCCCCACTTCTGTTCCCTGTGACTCAGGGCTCTCAGGTAGATCGTGTGTGTGCTGTGAAAGTGACTTGATCCCATCGTACCCTTGGAGAGGCAGGGAGGTTTCATGTGGATCTGGGGGCCTGAGGTCTTTTCCTCAGCCCTGTGCCGTTCAGGGCATCGTAGAGTTGTCATCAGATCTGAAGTGGCATCAGGGTCACCTCTTTGATTTCTCAGGGAAAGGCCTGGTCTACGTCATGCGACAGGTCCTGGTGATGGAGCCAAGACTTACACAAAATGGAGGCTGGCTGTCGCCTTGCTGTCTCTCTAATCTGTAGTAGGTATTTTTCTCTGACTGGCTGGCTGGCTGGGGCGAGGAAGCAGGGAGTCCTGAGAGGGGCCAGCATGCAGGGGCTCAGAGGGCACTTGCAAGGGAAGTAGCTGTAACTTGGGGTCAGAGTCGTGCCCAGGGTGCCAGCATTGCTGCCAGAGACCACAATGCCATCTTGGGGATTGCCCTGAGGCTAGTACACCAACCAGGAATTGCCAGTAGGGGCTAAATATACTGGTTATACTGTGTATACTTAGTATACTAAGAATACACAGAGTGCCCCATCCCCAGTTTTCGTCTTGGACTCCTAAAGAGGGCCCAGGAAAAGGAGACAGGACTGAGCATACCTGTTCCTCGCCCCCAGCATGGGGCTCTGCCTGCGGGAGCCTTCCACATGGTCCATTTCTTAAACTGGTGTGTCTGCTAAGTCCAGACTAGCTGAGGCCGAGCCCAGCAGCAGCCATGGTGATTCTCGTGAGGGTGAGATGCCCATTAGGCCAGTAGAGGGGAGGTGTCCGGCATTGCCCTTGCTGGGAATCAGCACCCTCTGTGAAATGAGGCCGGCAGACTGGATGGGCTTTTAAGGGCCCTTGGGGCTTTATTCAGGGCCTGTGGAGGGTGCCGGGGAATTCACCAAAGAGCCTGCACTCTCTTGGAGGATGCAGCATGTACAAAAAAAGTAAGTAGGTCATGTGAGGAGAGAAGGAACAGTAACTTTCTTGAACTCTAGGTTTAAGAAAGGCTTCAGGAGTCATCATTGGAGCTGAACCTTGAAGCAAATGAAAAGATTCTGAGGGGAGTGAGGTGGATGGTGCAGCCTGGAGAATGCCCTATGCAAAGGCATGGAGGTGGGAGGTGCCCTCATGAAGGGCAAAGATAAGAAATGAGGCTGGAAAGGTAGCTGGAACCAAATTATGAGCAGCCTTAAATCCCCAGTGAGAGGTTCATGTTAATCTTACTGGCATTATGGTGTCACTGGGAGTTTTTGACTAGGGGAGTGATGCATTTGAATTTGACAGTCACTTCACCCTGTTTGCCTCAGTCTCCTCATCTGTAAAATGAGCTGGAGAAGGAAATGGCAAACCATTCTGGTATCTCTGCCGAGAAAATCCCAGACGGGGTCACAAAGAGTCAGAAACAACTGAACAACAAAATCTGATTTCCCATAAGCCTAATTTTAGAATCCCGCTGGCTGGGCCTCAGTTTTTTCCTGTGTAAAATGAGTTGTTTCGACCAAGTGCTCGCTAAGCTTCCTTTCTGCTCTGACCTTCTGGTTCTTTGACTGAAGGCCCAGGGCAGGCTTAGGGAATCCATCTGTGTTTGAATGTCACCTTGGTCTCACCTGGGTCATTTGGTGATACTGCATGGGTGTCTCTGTATCTCCCGCGGGCCCCGCCCCCCCGCCATTGAGTAAACAGAACAGACATCTGGCTATAGGATGCGGTTTATTATCTATGAACTATCGAATGCGTGTATGAATTCTCAAACGATTTCACCTCCCTGAGTAGGTGTCAGGGAAGCGCACTACAAATCTTAAAGCATTAGAGAGATGAACATGATGCTGATGAGAGACTGAGGTGGGGCCAGTTCACTCAACCCATGCCAAGGCCAGACATACCCTGGCAGGGGCAGGGAGGCTGGAGCAGCCCGTATCTCTCCCCTCCCCCTCCCAGGCCATCAGGCGAACACAGTGACATACTGAGGGCCCATGTTTCCAAAGTAGGAGCGTTCCCACTCGCTCATGAGGTCAAAGTGCACGGGACGGTGGCAGAAGTTGCAGGCAGCAGAGGAGACATCCTGGAGGGGCAAGCCCACTTCAGCCCAAGTCTCGAGCAGTTTCCCTGGGGGGGGGGGGGGGGAGGAGCCTCAGTCAGACATCTGTAGACTCATGTTGTTCCGGCAGAAAGGGAACTTAGCACCAAGTCCAATCCTCCCTATCACCCCAGGCCCATCCCACCACCGATGGGCCTTCCCTTCCAACCGGAGCTGGTTTGCTTCTCGCCCACCATCCCAGGGGCTCGCCACATTGGTGCTGGCCTTTTCCTAGCTTGAGCCATCCACTACCCTCAGCTTCTCTCACAAGCTGGGATTATATGTTCGTGCCCTCATTTTACAGATGAGGATGCAGGTCTAGAGCAGGGAAATGACTTTGGGTCGTTTCCCATTCTTGATTTCACAGAGAGCCAAACTGAAGTTCAGAGAGAAAGCCGTGACCCGGGCTCCACAAGTGACAGCTGGATCTCGACCCAGGGCCGGCGCTTTTTTTTTTTTTTTTAATAATTCAGTGTTATTTTTTTCAACTGTCAAGTACCTGATTTTTCTCCCTCCCTCCTCCTCCATCTCACTGAAAAAAGGAAAAAAAAACCAAGCGAGAGGAGTCAAGCCAAACGGATTCCCACATTGGGCAGGACTAGCCATCCTGCCAATGTCTGTAGTGCGCCAGGCAAGCCAGGCTCCCAGTCCAGTTCTGCCCTTGACTTCTGGTGGGACTCTCTCTGGGCCTCAGTTTTCCCTCTGTAAAATGAGTAGACTGCCTCTAAACGCCCTTCTGTTCTGAAGGTCTGTGATGCTTAGAACCTTCCTCTCTGGGAAAGTTACTCAATGGTCTCTCTTGCCCTGAGATCTTTCAGAATCTTATTGTGGAATGGAAGCGCCTGGCCCAGCTGTACTGGTGAAAGGGCCATCACCCCAGAGATTGGGCCCCCACCCAGATGAAATCACAGACCCAGAGTCTCTGAGGTTCCCCCTCCCCGCATTGGACCATGGTGATTCCCTGTCTAGGCTTCCACTCCTCCTGTGTTCTGGAATATGCCACTGTCTCCCATGCCTGATCTCCATCTGGTAAGATCCTGCCCTGGCCATTCTCTGCAGGTTTGTGTCTCCATCTCTTTACTATAATAACATATCACATCACCTAACCAGGGTGTCCCCAAAGTCTTAAAGCTTCCAACTGCACTAAGACTTTGGGCCACCCAGGATCTTGCTTTAGCTCTGTGAGGCAGGCACTGCAAGGCCTCTTACCCTCATTTAACAAAGGAAGAAACTGAGGCTGAGAGGCTGACTTTCCCATGGTCCCAGAGCTAGGGGCAGAAGCAGCATCAGGACCCAAGTCTGTTTGCTCAACGTCCAGTCCCCTTTCCATCGTGTTCTTCTCCTTCCTCCCCAGGCCTTCCTGTAGCTCCCCATCTGTGTCTGCCTCTTGCCCCACGGCCTTCTCAATGTCTTTGTGCATGTCCATCTTTCAGTGCTCCTTTACTGTAGTCCAGGGACCCAGATTGGAATTTCAGCTCTTCCACATACTAACTGTGTGACCCTGGACACTCATTTAACCTCATCCTCAGTTTCCTCATCTGTAAAATGAGGATCTCACAGAGTTGTTGGGGGGACAGTGCTTAGTCAATATATGAGTTGTGATGTATTTTATTGAAGAGAAAGTGGTAGAGAGGCCCAGCCATGCAGAGAAGGGCCAGCCAGGGCAGGATTTTAACAGATGGACGTTAGTTCCTCATCTGGGAAATCAGGGTGCTGGGCTCCATCTAGATCTCTGAAAGTCCTTTCAGCTCAAAACCCATTATCCTTTGTCTGCCTCCTCCTCTCCTCCCTCTCTCTCTCTCCCTCTCTCTCTCTCTCTCTGTCTCTCTCCCCTCTCTCCTTTCTCTTCTCTCCCCTCTCCCCTCTCTCTCCTCTCTCCCTTCTCCCTCTCCCTCTCTCTCTCCCCCCTCTCTTTTCCTCTTTCCCGCCCCCCTTTCTGTCTGCCTCTCCCTTCCCCCCACTCTATCTCTGTCTCTCTCCCCACTCCCTCTTCCCCATCTCTCCTCTCTCTGTCTCTGCCTCTCCCTCCCCCCTACTCTGTGTCTTTACCTACCTCTTCCTCTCCCGTCCCTCTCCCTCTCCCTCCCTCTCTCTCCCTCTCTCTCCCTCTCCTCCTTCCACTCTCTCGGCTTTGGTCATTGGCCTACGCTCTCTCCCCCGTCCCCCGTCCCCCGTCCCTCATCTCCCAGTTACTCCTCAGCGTCTAGGCTGTCGGAGTCTAGACTCAGTCAGGTCTCTTCGCTCCAGGGCCCACCATTCTTCTTTGAGACCCAAATTAAGGAGAAGAGAACTCAGGCCCAGGAGGGACGTGTCAGGGCCAGGACACAAGGAGGCAGGGAAGCTATAAAACCTGGGTGGGGAGCGTAAACTTACCCACAAAGTAGTCCATCATCTGGGGTGTGTGGTGAGGAGAGGGTGCCAGCCTCAGCAGCTCCTCACCCCTGGGCACTGTGGGATAGTTGATGGCCTGCACGTAGATGTTGTGCTTGGAGATCAGGAGGTCGCAGATTTGGCTGTTGAGGGCAGCATCCCCAACCTGAGACCATAGGAGAGGACAGACATGTGCTGAGTCCCCCTGGTCCCTTCTGTCATCAAATCTCAGATTCCGGGAGCAGCCCCAAGAAGTGGTCATCCAGCTTTTCTTGGAGACCTCCAGGGATGGGGAACTCACTACCTCCCAACGTAGCCCATTCCACTTTCAGAAAACTTTTCCATACATTGAGCTGAAATCTGACTCACTGCTCCTAGCTCTACCCTCTTGGGCCAATCAGAACAGGCCTAAGCCTTTTTCCACAGGATAGTTCGACAGTGATGATTGTGTCAACTGTGTTGGTGATGTCTACGTGCCTAGAACTCCTACCTGTTCCTCTGGGTTCTGCCCCCTCTTTACACAGGAAGAAACTGAGTTCCAGAGATGGGAAGTGATTTGCCCATGCGTAGACTCAGCTAGTGGCTGAGCTGGGAAGAGAGGCCGGGAATCTCAATGCTCTGGCCCACTCAGCTGTACAACTGACTTGTTAGGCAGTCGTGACTATGTATGTCAATGGGGATTTTTATTCTCCATTCACTTCTTCACTAACTCATTCACTCAGCCCTTTGTTCAGTCATTCTTGCTCTTTCTTCCTCATGGATTCAATCAAGACATTCATTGTCATTATTTTATTCATTGCTTTTACTCATTCACTTATTCATGCCTTGATTTACTCACTCAGTTATTCATCTGTTCCTGCTCATTCAATCATTCATTGCATTCATTCATTTACTATATTGAATAATTCACTCAGCCATCACACTTTTCTTGAGCCCCTCCAGTCCCTAGCCTAGACTCTGGAAGAGTCACAGGCATAAGTGGGATTCAGTAGGAGAGCTGCCCCCAGGCTCCTTGCAGCCCCTGAGGCAGCTCACCAGAGAGAAGGCTTGTGGAGGTGGAGGATGTGGCAGGGACCTGCCCTGAGCCTCAGAGGAGGGGAAAGGGTTTGGGGAGCTAGGGGAAGGGGGAGCTGGGGCTTCCCTCACCCGGATAGGAATGATGTGACTGGGGCAGGCAATGACAGGAAAACCCTTGTCCATAAGCAGTTGGCGCATGTGGCGGACGTTGCGCTGGTGAGCACGTCGCAGCACTTGGCCCTCTTCACCCTTGAGGATGCGCACAGAGGCCAAAGCCCCAGCCAGCACCATAGGGGGCAGGGAGGTGGTAAAAATGAAGCCAGCGGCATAAGAGCGCACCGTGTCCACCAAGTCACGGGTACTGGCAATATAGCCCCCAACACAGCCAAAGGCCTTTCCTGTGAGAGAGAGAGAGAAAGAGAGAGAGAGAGAAGTCCATCCTCTGCCTGGAAGGGTGAGAGAGGAGGGAGGCCATGCCCCATGCCTCCTTGACTCCACCATTCAGAATCCTTCAAGGTGTACTCCGGCTCAGAATTTTCTCTGCCATCACATCCTGCTTGGTATTTAGCTATCTGTATGTATACAAGGAGCAGGGGGAAAGGGCAAAAACAAATGTCTCTTGAAGAGTTGAGAAAGAGGCTAGAGACAAAGTGAGAAAAACAAGAGACAGGAAGGAAGATGAGATGTGGAGGAATTTGGAGAGGCAGGAGATGGGGAGGAGAGAGGACAGTGGAGGTTCAGCGGCCTGCAGAAAGGTCAGGTGTGAGAGAGGAGGGCATTGGCCCCTCTGAGCGCTTTCTGTGGCGTATGGACTTTCTGTGGCGTATGGACGGTGTTTCCTTGAGCCCCAGGCAGGGGACTGGGAATTGTGATAAGGACGTGTCTCGGGGTGATTAGGTGCTCTGAGCCCCCAGGAGCTCACTGCCTGTGTCTGCCCAGGCCGATTGGAGCAAGGGACCAAGGGTGCGGCCCCACCAGCTGTTGGCTGAGCCATGAGCCCTCCCCACTGCCATGGGGCCCCAGATGCTGGGGTGGGGGAGGACAGGGGAACCAGCTGAATCAGGTGGAATCCCTCTCACCCCCTCCTTTCCTTGGACAGTCTCTCACTTAGAGAATCTGTATGCAAGGTGCTTGTTCTACCAGAAGAGTCACAGGTGAGGAACAGAGCAAGTCTCCCTGTTTGGCACCAACTATGACTATCCTCTGAGCCCTTTAACCTAAGACCTCAGAATCCCCAACTGAATTCTGGCTCCTCCTGTAAATCTCCTAAATTTCCCGTGAAATCCTTTAAATTGACATGTAAACCATCCCCACGTAAACCTTGGTGCCCCCGTGCATCCCTCCAGATCCTGAGCTAAGTGTCCTGAATCCACAGTAAAGCCCACTGAAGTCCCAGTGAAAGAAGCTGTGTGAATCGCTAGCTGAATTCTCTGGATCTTCAGCTAAACCTGTCCAAATTTGGAGGCAGAAGCCCTGGGTTCACATTCTGCCTCTGCTCTTTACTTCCTATGTTCCCTCCTTTGGGCCTCTTGTCCTCATCTAGAAAATGAGGGAGTTGGTCTAGATTTCCTCCAAGGTCCCTTCTAGCTTCTAAGTTCTCTGGTTTTAGCAAAACCTAATGAATTCCCAGCTAAGCCCTGTACATCCACAGGTGGCTTCTGCTGGGCAGCCCGAAATGGGAGTTGGGCGGGGGATGGGGAAGAGGGAATAAGCCCCTCATTATCTATGAAGAGATATCTAGGGCAAGAGGTAGGAATGGCCATGGAATCCCTCACGCTGTCCCTGGGTCTCCCCTTCTTCCACCGCAGCTCACCTAGGGTCCCAGAGACAATGTCAATCTTGTGCATAACGCCATCACGCTCGCCGATTCCGGCACCCCTCGCGCCATACAGGCCAACAGCATGGACTTCATCCACAAAAGTCAGGGCCCCGTACTTGTGGGCTACATCACACATCTCCTCCAGGGGACAGATAGCACCTGTGAGGGCGGGAGAGGGCCAGGAAGATGAATGATGCGCACAGAGAGAGTGGGAAACAGAGACCAGAACCCAGAAACAGAAACAGGCTCAGAGAGAGAGAGAAGTATACCAGGATGAAGAGGGAGAAAAAAAGGGAGAGGGAGAGAGAGAAGAGAAGAGAGGGAAGACTAGAGTCTGTCAGGGATGCCCAGTAGGCTGGCCTCCCCTTCCCCAATCCCAGATAAGATTCCTCCCCCAGATGCCTCATTCTGTCACCTAGGGACGAGACCCCAGCCTCTGCAGCTGGCTTCCATCCCCGGCTGATCAGTTCTTTGGCGAACAGAAAGTAGCAGAATGGTTAGAACTTGTTTGTTTTATCTTTCTTTGTATCCCCAGCACTTACCACTTAGTAGGTGGTTTACCAGTGCTAAGCAGCTAACTGAAATTAGACCAATCAGGCAGGGGGATGGTTACAATAGTACTCCTTTTGAGGAAAGGCAGTAGGAGAGTTAGAACATGGGCTCTGTTGGAGAGCTGTCCAGGCAGCGGGGTGATGTGGGCCTCTTTCCAGCCCACTCCAACAAACACTGATGAACTAACTGCCCTCTGCTCCCCATGGGATCTCCAAAGGCGAAAAGGGAAACAGCCCTGTCTTCTGCATTCTGCTGGGGGAATCTAGCATGTGAACAGAACAGAAAAGGAAATGCACGAGAATGTGGAGAGGAAGCTCCCTGTAGGAGGTGGCATAGGAGTGCCAAGCGGACAGAGGTTAGGAGCGAGCACGGCCAGATGTGGGGAGATCGAGCCCTACAAAGTTTCGGAAGCAAGTGATAGAATGCCAGGTTTGCAGAGCAGATGGGAAGTCCATCTGGCTGGAACAGAGAGTGCGGGAACGGGGAGGGATGTGCAGGAAGCCTGGGGAGGGAGACTGGATCAGACTGTGAAGGCCCTTAAATGCCAGACTAAGGAGCTTCTCTTGTGTCCTAGAGGCAATAGGGAGCCACTGAAGCTTCCGGAGCAGAGGAGCGACATGCTTGGACTTTTGTGCTTTCTGGATTGGAGAAATGAGGTAGTGGGATGGCTAAGAAATGTGTCTAATGGATAAATATGGCAGTGGGATGGTTTGGAGTAATAAGGAAGTGGGATGGTTAAGATATTGTTGGAAAAATAAGACAGTAAGATAGTCAGAATGTTGTCTCTGTTGGTGAAATAAGGTAGTGAGCGGTTAGGACATGTCTTCATTAGTTCTTCCCCTTCACTGCCCCTGTGCCCCCAGCCCCCTCTCACCATCCATGGAGTGGACTGTCTCAAAGGCAACGATCTTGGGGGTCAGGGGGTCAGCTTTGCTCAGGAGTTCCTCCAGATGTTCAGGGTCATTGTGGCGGAAGACAAACTTGGGGACCCCACTGTTCCGGATGCCCTGGATCATGGAGGCGTGATTGCCTGCGTCTGAGTACATCTCACATCCTGCAGCCAGGTGAGAACAGCCTTTCAGGCCTCAAGTCCCTGGCCTGCCCCCTGGCAGCCTGTGAGGGAGGCCAAGCCTGGGCCAGGACAGAGCTGACCCAGCTTGGAGGGCCCTGCTTGAAGACTTCTTCCAGGAAGTCTCTATAGAATCACCAACCATTACAGCTAAGGATGGAGTGCTTAGAGATCAGTCACTCCAAGCCTCTCATTTTACAGAAGAGACAGGCTGGGAGAGGGGCAAGGCCTTTCCCAAAGGCCCTGAGATGGTGACTAGCAGAGTCTGAGTCAGAACCTCATTCTGCTGCCCACCGGCCAGTTCAGGGCTCTCTCTCTGCTGCTTCTTGGTGAATTCACCCATTCGTTTGCTCCCCCGTTCACCTAAAACATGTATTAGGCCCTCACTGTGTGCCAGGTGCTGTTCCGAGTTCTAGGATTATTGAGACAAAAACAAAATAGTCCCTGCCCTCAAAATCCATTGTACAGCGCATCCCTTCACTCCCTCGTTCGTTCGTTCTTCAGCGTAACGAGCACTTGCTCCCCCTGTGCAAGCCCGGGGCTCACCTGGCAGGGTCCTGGCGAGGGTGAACAGCGTTGAGTCGTTGGCCACAAAGCAGGAGGAGAAGAGGAGGGCAGCGTCCTTGGAGTGCAGGTCGGCCAGCTCTCGCTCCAGGGCCACGTGGAACTGGCTCGTCCCGGAGATGTTACGTGTCCCACCAGCCCCAACTCCAACCTGCTTCAGGGTGTCCCTAGGGAAGAAGCAGGAGAGTGCCACGTCAGTGCCATGGCTCCCTGGGGAAAAAGGACCAAGGAGGGCCTCTTGGAGGAGATGGGCCTTTTAAGAAGTGATGGCTTCCAGGAAGCCTTCCCTCGTGTGCCAGGTAGCGTAGCACCGTACTAAGGGCCCTGGACTTAAAGGAAAGCAGAGCTGGCAGTCCGTTTTCTGGATCCAGGAATCAGATGTTGTAAGGACTGTAGATTTAGAACTGGAAGGCACCTTAGAGCTTACATAGGCCAACCCTCCTCATTTTACAGGAAAGAAAACCGAGGCCAAGTGAGGAAGGGACTTTTCCAAGGTCACACAGAGCTAGTCCTTGAACCCCGACACCAAATCCATTCCTTTCAGCATGGCACCACGCTGCCTTTCTCACGCTCTGCCTGAGGCCTGAGCTAGGCCTGAACTAGACCTGAGATGGAGTTTTGTTCTCTGGGTCTGCACCGCTTATGTGCTCTGCTCCTGACATCTGAATGCTCTTTGACCTTCCCTTTCTGAACGCTCTGCTATTCTCTGTCTCAGAGCCCAAGATTGTTCAGCTCGTAGGTGTGAATGTCCTCTGGCTCTGCTTTGAGGTCTGCCAGCTGGGCTCACAGAGGTAGGGCTCCCCGGTTCTGCCACCTTACTTTACAGAATACGAGAACTCAGTTCCCAGAGGGAGGGGCTCACCCAGGCTCACCGCCATAGAAAGTGGCCGAGCCAGGATTTGAACCCGGGGCATGACTCCAACGTCAGCACTCTGTCTACTGCCCCAGGCTTCTCCAATGCCAAAGATCCTGGGTCCCAGGTTCCAGGGCCTGCTGTCCTTCCATTCTGACCTGGGCTTCTTTTCTGGCTCTCGGACTGTAACTGCATTTCAGACATCTCAAACTGGATGTCCAGTAGACATCTGAGACTCAACGTGTCCAAGACAAGACTCTTGCCTTTCCCTAAACCCTCCCCCTTCGACCCTCCCTATTACTGCGAAAGGCGGCACCATCCCCCCAGTCCCTCAGGCTCACACCCTAGGAGTCACCCTGAGCTCCTGACTCTCTCTCTCACCCCCTGCCATAGCTAAGCTGATGCCAAGGCCTGTGATTTCACCTTTGTAATAGCTCTCTAGTAGGCCCCCTTCTCTTCTCTGACCCTATTACCACTCTGGTGCAGGCCCTCGTCTCCTCATAGCAATGGCTGCTGGCGGGGGTGGGGGGGGGTGTGCCTGCCTCAGTCTCTCCCCATTCCAATCCATCTTCCATTCAGTCAGTCACTAAAATGATTTTCCTAAGGCAAAGGTCTGACCACGTCATTCAGTCCCCTACTCAGTAAATTCCAGCGGCTCCCTATTGCCCCTGGATCACATCCAAGGTCCTCCCTTTCCAGGCTTCTTACATTTCCCTCCCCAACACGCACACTCTGATCCAGGGACACTGGCCTCCTGGCTCTTCCTCCAGCAAGACCCTCCCTCTCCTGAGTGGATGTTTTCAGTGGCTCTCCCTCACGTGCGGAATGCGCTCCCTCCTCAGCTTTGCCTCCTGGCTTCCCGGGCTTCTTTCAAGTCCCAGCTAAAATCCCACCTTGTGTAGGAAATCTTTCCCAGGTACTCTTCATTCTAGTACCTTTCCTCTGTGGATTATTTCCATCTTGTCTAGAACTCATTTGTCTTTAGTCATTTCTATGCTGTCTCTTCCGTTAGACTGTGAGCTCCTTGAAAGGCAGAGACTGACTTGCCTTTACCTTTCTTCGTGTCCCCAGTACTTAACATACAGCCTGGCATACAGTAGGTGCTTAATCAGTGTTTACTGACTGACTTCCTCTAGCTCAGCGACCTGACCCTAACTTGCTCTAGCGAAAGGGGTCCCTTCAGCACTCACTGTGTGGCTTGGAGCACGCTGGGGTGCCAGCTCATGCCCAAGTAGTCATTGCTGCACCAGATAGACACCTCTTTGGTGGTCAAGCTTCCCCCTTCCGAGAAGTCCTGGGCCATAGGGTAGGCATCGGCCCTGCGGTTGACGGTCTTGAACACACGGTAGCTGTGGTCTCTCTTCTTCTCTTCAATCTTGCGGCTGAAGAAGGCATCATAGCCAAAGGCGTGGCTTCCTGTGGGGAGATGGGGCAGCTCCAGGGTTTGGGAAGCCTCCCTCCCCTCCTAGCCCTCTGGTGAGGCCCTGGGGCTGCAGCCTCCCTGTCCTGCAGACTGCTCTACAAAGCTCCTCACTCCCCTCTTCTCTATTTCTAGCAATCTCTTCTTTCTCTTCTCACCTCTCTCTTCCACTGTATCTTTTGGTATTCTCTCTCTCATCTCTGTACCCCTCCATCTCTGTCTCTCACTCTCCACCCATTGTGTCTCTCTCCCATTTCCCCTTCTCTGTCTCTCCCTCTCTCTCTGCTCATCTCAAATTCTTTCCTTTCCTCTCTCAGTCTCTGTTTCTTTTCTCTCTGTTAGCGGTCTCTGTCATTTTCTCTCTGTCTGGCCTCCTTTCTCCCTTCTTCCCCCTCTTTCTGTGTGTCTGTCCATCTCAGTCTACCTGATCTCTCTCTCTCTCTCTCTCTCTCTCTCTCTCCCCCTCCCCTCATCCCGCCCTCCTGTGACTCAGTTTCCCTCCCTCTGTGTCTTTCCCCTTTCTCAAGCTCTCTGCCTTTCTGTTGCCCCCAAATTCTCTAAGGCCTTCCTTTCTGGGCCTCCCTTCTCTTCTGGCCACGTCACTTTCCTTCTGGCTCTCTCCTCCACGTCTCTCACTAGTCCAGGGCAGAGAGCAGCACCTCAGGTCTCAGCCAGCACAGTGTGTGCACTCCCCCCTAGTTACACCAGATGGGTCCAGGGGAGGCCTGGGGCTCCGAGTGTCTCCCTGGGCGCTGCCTCATCCCTCTTCAGCCACCCTCCCCCGCCGCTCGCGGATAGCCTACCAGGCATGTTGTCCTGGATGAGGTGGCTGATCTTGTTCTCCAGGGCCAGCTTCTGCCCCCCGGAGCCCCAGAATTGCTTCCTCAGGCTGGACTGAATCTCCTGGACCAGACAACTAATTGGAACTAGAGAGGAAAGAGGATTGAACGAGTGCGCCCTGCTCTAAGCCTAAGCTGAGATACCAAAAAGTAAATAAATACATTTAAAAAAAAACAAATCTAGTTCAACCAAACAAAAAAAAAAAAAACCACAGTGAGAATTGGGTGGGGGCAAGCTCTGGATGAGCAGTTAGGGGATATCTCGGTTCAAGTGTTGTCCCCACCATCGGTTGCTGTGTGACTCGAAGCAGTCTGAGCAACCTCTCTGAGCCTCTTCCCGCGTCTGAAGAGTAAGAGGGTTGGATTCCATGATCACCATGGTCTCTCCCCTGTTTTGTGGATGAAGGAAACAATCTCAGGTTGGCTCAGTAACTTCCCCAGGATCCCACAGCTGGTGAGTATCTGAGGCAGACTTAGGCCTAGATTCTTCTGCGTCCAAGTCCAGTGCTCTATCCAGTACGCCACACTGCCCATGTGGGCGATCGGCAGTGACACAGCCTTGGAATGCCTTCTGTTCCTACTCAATACCATTACCCATTACCCTCTCAGCCAGCGGCTCCCTGCCTGACGTTGGCTGAGTGACATGGCTTTGCTAAGCCTCAGGCAGAATACTGACTCCATCTTTTCTCACCACCCTCTCTCCATAAAGAAAAGGGATTGGGCTAGATGGACCTCCAACCCCAGATCTTCCTCTCACTACCTGTGGGATCTTCAGCAATTCCCTTCCCCCCCTCTCTGAGCCTCAGTTTCTTCTTCTGTTAAGTGAGGGGGTTGGACTTCGGTATGGCCATTCCAGGATCCCAAGTTCCCTCCCCCTCTCTGAAGCTCAGTTTCCTCTAATAAAATAAAGGAGTTGGCTTAAGTGGTCTCTAGGTCCTTTCCAGCTCTGACCCAGCCAAGTTCTTGTTAGACGGGACTTTGGCAAGAGGGGCTCCCCTGAAAGGGAAGGAGCTATCCAATTAGAAACTGGACAGCCACTTGAGAGACCATCTCATCCAGCCCCCTCATTTCTTTTTACAGATAAGGAAACTGAGGCCCAAGGAGAGGAAGGAACTTGCCCAGGGTCACACAGGAAGTGATTAGCAGAACGAAGCCTAGGAGTGGGGCAATTGGGATGGGCTGCTGTGGGAAGCAGGGAGTTCTTTGGTGCTGGAGGATTTTCAGCTAGATATCATATGACTCCCCCCCTCCCATATTCTGTGATCTGACAGGGCTCAACTCGGGGGTCACTGTCAGCTCCGAAATTCTAGGATTCTCAAGTCTTGAAGTTTTCAAGTATTTTAACAGTACCGGCACTGACTGCTCTTCACCTTCAGCTTTACACGTATCATTTTGATTTGAGCCTCAGCTCAGGTCCACACGGATGCTGTGGTAGTGACCAGCATCCCTTCTGTGCATCTGGAGCTTAAAGAGGCTGCCACTTGCATGCAGTGGTCAGGCAGAGGTCATGCAGCTGATGCGTCTCTGAGGCGGGGTTCGAACCCAGGTCCTCCTGACTGCATGGCCAGAGCTGTAGCCACGGGGCTTCAGTATTTCTCTAAGGCAGTTCCCCCTCTTAGGTATTCTGGGTTTCTCTGGTTCTGTTTTTGTGATTTGGGGATTCTGTGACTCTTACGGTAGTCTATGATTCTGCCATTCTGGGGTTCAAAGGGTCTCTGGTTATCATGTCTGATGATTCTCACCTGCTTTGAATGTCTTGACATCCTCCTGGATCTCAGGCCCCGCCTTCAGCATGATCTTGCTCTTCCCAGCCTGGAGATCAGATTCCATGAAGGGGCACTGGCCCTTGGCCAGGGAAGGTGATCCTATCCCAAAAGAACAGAGATGACTCCTGCCCAAGCCCCAGGGAAAGGAACTCTGAGGAGGGGAACACTGCCTTGGGGAAGGGATGAAAGGGAGCCAGGTCGTGTCAGGGCTGCCTCAGGAGCCTTCCTCATGCCCCTTGCCACAAGACACTTAGCCAGAAGCCAGAGTTCAGGTGGCAACACCAGCCTTCTCTTTTGTAGCCTCCCTCTTCCCTCCCACAGTTGTGTGCAACACGTCCTTCCCCTTTCAGTGAACTCCTCTAAACTGGCAGGCATTTGGCAGTGGTGGTTGCTGGAAGGACCTTCTCCCTTCTTACCACAAGCCTGGACCTCTGCCTCTTTGCTTCCTGGGCTGGATGTGGCCAGGCCCCGGGCCACCATGACAGGGCACCTTTGGGCACTGAGCAACAGCTGGGGCCTTGTTTTCTTCAGGAATGTAGCCCTGTCTCTGGCCATGGCTGGGCAACGCTGTAGGAAGGAAGCCATCTTGGGTCTGCAGGAGAAAAAGTTGGAGGGTTAGGACATTTCTTGACATGGGGTCATCCCACTTCTGTCTGCATACCTTCAGTAACAGAGAACCGATTAAAAAGAACGGAGCCTTGACTTGAGGGAAGGCAGTATGGTGGCCTGGACTCCCCTCCTGCTTGTGGCCAAGGTCACGAAAGACCTTGGCCAAGTCCCTTCCCCTGTCTGGGCTGTAGTGGTGGAGTCTGGGAAATCTGGGATCCCTAGGGTCCCTGCTGGTTCTGGGACATTATTCTGTTCCAGTGAAAAACCTGTGTGAACGGGAGCAATCTGGAGATAGGTTTTGCACATGTATAAGCTATATCACATTGCTTGCCATCTCAGGAAACAGGGAGAGGAGGCAGGGAGAGAATTTAGAATTTAAAAATTTTTTAAAACAAATGTTAAAAATTGTTTTTACGTGAAATTGGAAAAAATAAAATATTATTCAAAAACCTAAAAAAAAGCAAAAGAAAAACGGGTGTGACTTTGGGCACATCCCCTCCCCTCTCTCTGCACAGCAGGTGGGCCTGGACTGGGAAGACCCGAATTCAAATTCACCCTCAGGCACTAACTAGCTGTGTGACCCTGGATAAGTCACTGAACTTCTGTTTGTCCCAGTTTCCTCAACTGTAAAATGGGAATGATAACAAGACCTTCCTCGTAGGGTTGTTGTGAGTATCAAATGAGATATTTCTAAAAAAAAAAAAAAAGTGCTCAGCGCAGTGCCTAGCACATAGTAGGTGCTATGGAAATGCTTACTCCCTTTCTTTCCCCCTCCCTCTCTGGGCCTTAGCTCCCCCTTCTACA